TTCAGAGAAACTTATCCACTAACCACTATTTGACAGTTATCCCTTTATACCTACATAATATGCCCAAATATTTTGATCAGAGTAATCCTGTTTTAAAGCTACATAATTGGAAGCCCATCAGTAGTTAATAGTTGCATCATAAAGATACTTTTGTTAGCACAATGTATTATTATCAGAAGTGTTACAGTCTCTAAAATGTCTGGTTGGATTGCCAGCAGAACATTTTCCCATAGTTAATATTGCCAATGGATTTTAGCAATGAGTAATCGACAGCGGTTCACTGAACTTTTGTAGTGATGATTCAGTAGGCGCAAAGGTGTTTCAGGAATGTTATGTAAACTTTAAAAAATGGGGATTTTGAAGTCAAAGACAAAGAACATTCTGGAAGATCTAAGAATCTGGAAAGTGATAAATAAGAGGGACCTTTAAAGAAAGAACAAATGCAAACAACATGTGAACATCAGGTTAATCAGAAAATGCAGTGTATCGTTCACAAGCCTAAAGAAAATTCCAAAATCTAAGTAAATGGATTTACATAAATAGAATGAAACAAATGCCTGCGTATAATCATATGGCTTTATATATTCTTATTCTTATACATTAATATAATATGTATTTTTGGCAATGAAAATCCGATGAAACATCTCCTTTTTTTTCTTTGTTTACTCCATAAGCTTTCTTTGCTGGTGCAAAGAAAAATAGATTCAATACGTATATAGAAAAGAAAGAAAATCATAACATCAGGAATAGGTTTTGATATTTCAACTTAAATGGAAAGAATATTTTTTTCAGTATTTCATTTCATTCAAACAGAATTCTTTATTCCAAATTACAGCCACAAAGACAATCATTAATGTGATAATCAAGTGGTTCACTTCTTTTCTTTTATCTTTCTTTTAGCAAAAAAGTCGAATAATGATGACATCATATATATATATTTTTTTTAATCATTTCATCTCATGCAAACCACTAAAACGAAAGCGGTTACTCGTTGAAAAAATTTATAAAATGTTTCCAAAAGAAAAGAAAACAAAAAAACGTGATTAACAAAGAGAATATGACGATTGACACTGCATTTGGATTTTGGAAGATCGTAGTTGACAGGAAAGCAAGAACCTGGAAGAGAGTTCCACAGGTGATGAGTGCGAGAGATGAAAGTATTAGAATAGAAATTATGGTTACATCAAACAATTTCTACAATAAAATTGAGACAACCTAGTACTACATTTAAATTTCTGAGGTCGAGGTTTCATAAAGGAAAGTCCATCAGAATAAAAGACATGAAAATATTTATATAAAAATTAATCATACAAATGGGATCGAATGTTTCTACATATATTATAGATATGTCTCCTTCAAATTTGACTCATTCTTTGCTACATTGTTCGACGTGTCAGCGGTCGCAACAATTTCGAACTTTAAAAGTATTAATTGAATCAAAACTGAAATCGTTCTTTGATGAAGGAAAACACAATTTAGATAAAACGTGGTGTTAACTATGAGGAAACCACGGAAAATACGTTGACGACTGAGTAATCTGAATTATGATTCTATAAATATCTATGAATAAAAGATTCTCAAAACGTTCTGGAAACATTTACAACAATCAAATATATATATATATATATATTATATGCATACATGATGCAACATAAACAATTGAACTAAATTTGTAGTTGTGACTAAAAAGTATATTTTTTCTCGGCATTGGATCACTCTCGATTTGAAATATGAGGCAAGAGTTTATCCTATATTCGATAAGCAACAGACATTGGAACGCACAATGATTCATATTGGATTAGCGGATTAAATTGGAGAGCGGATTAGCCACAAGAGGTTCAGACATTCAAAGATGAGGGAAGAAACATTTTTTTAAAAAAAGCAGTAAACTGATTTATGTTTTTCGAGACCATTCCTCAAGCATTAATGTAGATTTTTTAAATGTTATTTTCCTCTTACCTGTGCATCTATCTCAGTTAGTTTATATTTATCTCCGCCCCACCCCTTGCTGGATGGACGGGTGACTGGGTGATTAGATGGATAAGAATCTATTGATCAATTTCTCAATTTAATAAACGGTTATATCCATTGAAATGTCTATTTATCTCAATCTATGTTTATCTAAGCATTTGTATATATATATATATGTCAGTGCCTTTGTTTGTTCACACACACACATACGTATATATATAAATATATATGTGTGTGTGTGTGTGTGTGTGTGTGTGTGTGTGTGTGTGTGTGTGTGTGTGTGAATATACATATTATCCCGTACCGAGTCGTGTGAACTGTGTGGGATAATATGTATAAGCTTGTGAATTAGTCGGCATACAATTACTATAGAGGCTCAAGTATACTTTCGACAGTGAGATCACCGGCCATCAACACTGTGTCTGTATATGCATACCTTATGTTGTTTAGGTGGTATCGATCCTTTGTAGGCCTTCTCGTTCTCTTTAAAGATTAAATAACTCTAGTGATAAGTAGTTTTCTACTTTTTTCTAGTTTCTCAGTTCGTTTTCTATCCCTGTGAAGGCAGTTTTCTCTTAGCATATATTCAGGATTATCCAAATGCATTTCCTAAATAAATCTAGTTTTTTTTTGCAATTCTTGATAACATCAGAAGAAAAATCTGCAATATTATCGGTCATGACTTGAAATCTCAGATTTTTTCACATTCTCACCACCATATCGTAGCTTTCCTGAGCAATTTTGCTCACCAGAATTTATCTTACATATTTTTAAGACTATCATTCGTCCATGTATTGAATATGGCTGCCACATTTACTCTGGAGCTTCTTCTATATATTTGGAGATACTAGATAGAACACAAAGAAGAATCCACAATGCCATTGTTCCCCTTCTGGCATCTCGGATTCAGTCACTTTCCCACCAACGTAACGTAGATTTTATATACCTTTTCATGGTAATTATTCCGATGAGCTTTCCTCTTTAGTACCTCAACTTTACTATGAATTTAAGTGCAGTACTAGATCGACAGTTAGGTCTCATCATTTTAAAGTTGAAATTGTTAGATGTAACCGTAAGTTCTATGCTAATAGTTTCTTCTCTTTTGTGAAACTCTCTTCCTGCCTGTTTCTTTCCAGTCAACTTTGATTTTTAAGAGTTTAAATACAATGTCAATCGCTGATTAATGCCTTCTTAATTCCTGTTCTTTTATTGAACTCTCTCCTTAATAATAGTTTATTTTTGTCATAATCTCTTACGCTCAGTAACCCTTTGCGTCTTAGTGGCTTTATCGCCTTGCTTGGGGTGAAATGAATGTGAATTCTCTATGGAAAGAACAACATACAACGGTCCATAAGGAAATACTGGTTTCTGAAGAAAGAATTCAAATTTCTCGAAAGTTTAAACTTGGGATTAATTTATTATTTAATCATAACCGTCATGTAGAATGATATAATCTCTAAAATGAAATGACATTAATAGAGTATAATCTGAACAATTCAACTTTTAATTCTGATTGTACTTTATTAATTAACTTTGCTTCATGTATCACGTATGAGGTAGATTAGTAATCGTCCATCTTCTTCCGTTGCTTTATCGATGCTTGAAAGGAGTCTAAATGTTGCCCCATCATTGTGGTAAAATAATGGCTTTAGTGACTTAAAATATCCAGGCGTATTGTTAATTATGTCTTCTCGTTAGTTATTGTCTTGATGTATCGCTGTTTTGGGAGTGCTGACATTTTTTCTTGATGCATAATCATTCAGTGTCGCATTGGAAAATAGCTCATCTATTGAAAAGGTTTGAGTTGAGCCTTCCATAATCTCAGAATGAGAACTGTAGATTTCTAACATTTTTCTTCAATCTCTCAAAGCTCAATTCTCGGTGGTGATCTTCCTTTGCGCATAATTTGAATATGATCATTAATTAATAGATACCAGAGGTTAGATGGTTTTAAAAATATAATTCGACTAGTTCTCAGTTTCTTCTCTCGAACTTCTCACTTTGATCTTTAAAAACTTAAATGCAATCTCAATCGTTATATTCCGTCTTCTTAATCTCTGTTCTTCTATTGTTCTCCCCTCTCCTTAACAATGTTTTCTTTCTCTCTCTTTTTCTTCTATTCTGTCACGCTCACTAACCCCCTGCAGCTTTACTGGTTTGCTTGCGGTGAAATGATTAAAAAAAACATTTCAGTGCTAGTACATCATGATACCAGTAGTAAGAGTTGACGAAAATCTCAAACCAAGTATAATCACTTTGGCTTCATATACAATTTCAACACCGGAGACATCCCTCAGGCATTTATCGAGGGCACTGAGAGCTTTCACTAAAACACGATGCTTCATCAGTAACGAAAATGAATTGATTCTTGAAGGGTGCATGATTAGACAAAGTGAATATATAGCAAGCACTCGTTTCATTAATAGATATAGTTTTATTCCCTGAGACCAGAGTGACAGCACCATCTGTACAAGAAACTATATGATGCACTGTTCTTACATAGACGCAAAGGAAATTGAAAGTAAAGATTTTACCAAATCCATCATGTGGATCAACATAAAAATAACTTCCCTGTGAAATAATGCCGGTGTTGACTCACACGTCAACGTTTATAATAGCAGTCACTCTTTCTGAGCATTGCTTGAGCTGATCAATATTTGGTTTCACATTTGTATTTTCAAGTGGTTGGGATGCTTTTAATAAATGTTAATTCAAGATATGGCCTAAGTGCCACTCAAGTTAGTGGGTTAATGGGTGAAGTAAGCGAAGATTATGAGTATATGTACGATAGATAACCGTTTACCCTAGACTTGAAGAGGTTAAGATTGTAGTGATCGGAAAAGCATCTTCTCGTTTGGCAAAAAAGCGGTTCTCGTGAAGAAGCTGTAGAATGTTCTGTCTATCAATGGAATCCGAAGATGACCCTATATACGTGGAAAGGTCTGAACTAGTGGAACTAAGGAATATAGCTCGTCTGAATATTTGCCATGAAAATAGGGTTAGTGTAGTGATAGGCTTGCGATGCTTGCTTACGACCACATCACGTTGAAACTCTGGTTCCAGTACGATCACTGGAGTTAAACAACACAGAGCCTGGTAAGTATTTAGATGGGTGACCGATTAAGAATACCAGGTATTGTAAGCTTGGATGTGCGGATGGTGTAATGGATAATGGCTTCGATTTTTTAATCGGAGAGTCAAGTTCCGTTTCCAATCGTGTTCGTTATATTTACTTACGCGCAAATATTCTTGGGAAAGGTATAAATCCACGTTTTTTTCTCCCAGCTATTACTAAATCATTATTATCTCTCCACCACAAAAAAATTCTTGAGATCTAAAAATGTTTTCTGGCTTTAAATAACCTTAAAAACATTGGTAGAAAACGAATCAGTCAGTCAATCTGTTGCGATGTTTCATCTGTTGGAAAAAGGATTCTAAGTTTGACAATAATTCATTGTCCACAGAGGAGCATAAACTCTTCTGAAGGAAGGAGGTGTGAGTTACTTTCTAGAACAAGGAATTTTAAACCCGCTCTTTTTAAAAATAATATTACGAATTACATGACGGTCTTCATTCTCAAGTCTCTTCTTTGAAGTTTCGATCATTGAATATTCATGAGTTTTCCACTGTTGAAATGCGTTAATTGATTGACTGTATTTTTTACAAAAATCCTCAACAATTGTCTTGGCAATTGAGACACAAACGCCTGTCTTAGTGCATTGTCATATCAAGCGTTTTTAACAGCGCCTTGTGCAAACATCTTTAAATGTATTTCGAAGAATCAGATTCTACTTCTTTCTCCGTTAGTCAGTAAGTTAACACGTGCGTTACGCCCTGTTATTACATCAGATAACTAATGAACCATTCCATTTCGACGGCGACGAAAGTCTCAATAAAAATATTTATTAGAGACGCTGTTTACTTTTAGTCAGAAACTGAAAGCATGCCAAGTACTAAGGAAGAAAGAACGTAAGAAAGAAATAAAAGGAGGGAAGGTAAAGATGATGATAATTTTCAGATGTATTTAGCGTCTACTTCAGGAAAATATAGGCGATTTTGAAGCTTTTCATTTGTACCCTCTTACTTCTTTAAATAATGACCTGCATTCATACTTATGTTATTGTAATATTTTATTAAAAAATATATGCTAAAATATTTAACGATACAACGAGAATTTCCATGGATATTCTATAGTTGTGGAACTCGCAAGGGACTTATTCAATTATTAAATTAAGAAATTCATCAAAAAATTCGAAGAGAAAGACAATGAAATGTTCATGGCTACTGCGAGTGAAATATTTATTTATGGTATTTATTGAGTTCTTCACTGTCACAATCGCATTTCTATAGCATTGTTGCCTGACGTTGTGTTTTCATTGCAAGGCAAGATGGAAGAAAATTATATATCAGAAATGCTGTTTGGTTTTACTGAGGAAAAAAAAGAAAAGATGTAACGGTGCAATATCACTCTCATGCATTTAACGTCCGCTTCAGTGAAATGGAAAACCTTGTTTAAAGTCGCTTACCCTTGCAATTTTTGGTATGACCTCCTCTTTTGCAGGGTGTGGTCACAGGATATCGATCCACTTGTACTCGTTCTTTCATCTCTTGGTATCTTACACTAACACTTTTCGAAGGGTGTTAATAATTTCTCCATCTTTCCTGTTGTCTTAGCTGTGCCCGCCACTATGGCTACAATCCGGCCAATGGCTTTTCGATCTTCATTACGCGGTTCAATCTACTTCATAATTAGAAGAATTTACCTCCTCGACGTTTTGCTTACGTAGGGTTTTCCGGTTCGTCAGCATAAGAATTAAAATTATAATTTGGAAATTTACCTACGCAAGCTTTTTTCTCGCCTTGACAAAATTCTGGTATTTAACAGATGACCTTTCTTGATCGACCGTTCCTTAAATTCTATGCCTCTTTACGAAGAATCTCTTTTCCACTTCTGCGTTGATTCTAGATTCCATATTCTAAATCAACACTTCTTCAACGCCCGTCTGCTTTCTATTGTGTTTTGATAACCAGCATTTTTAATGGCCATCATTCATCAATTGTCAAGATTGCTTATTTATAAAATTACGGCATACGCACTTTCTTGTTTTATAAACTTAAGACCCTGTTGTTCTCAGCTCCGGGTACTTTGATCACCCTCCTGCCTAGTTCAGCCCATCCCGATTATCTCCAGCATCTTTCATAATGAATTACTCTCACACTTGCCACATTGCTCTATCAAAACATTATTCTTTCCGCAATTCTCATTATCTAGGAATCTTAATTTCTTTTTAAAAATAAAATCTTTAAGTTTTTTTCATTGTAGATGATCAGTCTATCCTTCATTATATCTTCTAATCCCTATTTTCCAGCGTTAAATATTATAGCTGATCAGTCTATCTTTTAATCCTTATTTTTCAGCGTTAACCATCTTCTAGCGTTAAACAGTGTCACATTTGATTGCTGGTTTCGTTTTAAAGTGTTCAAAACATGCTGAAAGGGGATATTTTAGCCAGGTCCCCTATATGGTAAAGTAATAGGGTTGACATAATGCTGTTAGCTCATGGAATTTGGCACATCACTATATATATATATATATATATATATATATATATATATATATATATATATATATATATATATATATACCTTCAACACAATAGTAAATATTAGTGGAAATTGTGTCTTGATTTAGCTAATGTCGAACTTAAAATCTGAGAGGTATTTCTGGGAAGTATTGGCTGGAAGTGTTTCTACCGTACCCTATATATATATATGTGTGTGTGTATGCGTAAGATTGTTTGTACAAAATTAGTTTACATTTATCCCATTTCCCTACACCTCTTCTTTATGGCTCTACTCTTTTATTTTCTCTATTAGCTGAATATTTTCCAAAGTATATTAAAAATAATTATTGGTTAGCCTAAAATGTTTTATATTGAATGGGAGTATTTAGTTTTAACCTAATTGAAAACCATTAGTATAAATAAGTATCTCTTGTTTATAATCTTTGAAATATCGGAATGCACCTTTTTAAGACAATTCTTAGCATTAACATAGTTTTTTTTTTACTAATACTATTGAAGGTAAACAGTATTTTCAACATATTATTCCTTTTGATTTTAAGAAAGGTAAAAAATGTGAGAAGAGCAGAGATTGTACTTAATATTAACACTGCTATCTATCTATTATTAGTAGTACTAGTAGCAGTACTATTGATTGGAAGAGAAGGATGTCAAAAATGTGACTAAGGCACAAATAAACGAAACCAAATCTAGCTATCAGGACATACAGTCTGATATGGCTATACCAAGCATTGCAGCCAAATGTACGTCATAATGTGACAGGTTTTGCAAAAAGCAGCGCGTAACCTTGCCGGTGGGGCCCAGTTATAAATACCTCCCGGTCTTGTAAAGTCATTCCGCTTAGACGAGTGGTTCTCAATCATTTTTGCCCAATGCACCTTTTTCAAAATGTCAGAATGCTAGTCACCCGATTGTCCAAGATTGACCGACTCAAAACGTACATTTCAAATAATATGCATTGAAATTTTTAATTCTTTTCCGTATTAGTGTGTATACATAGATTATTTTTATAAAGGAGATTTTACTTCCATGATGGCCTCCAAACTCTATAAACAAAACAAGAAAAATAGTTTCCCTCATTGAAACCTTGAACAACCTTGAGATGAATACCTACCTGCTAGGTTGAGAACACATGACTTATACTGTATCCCATTGACGATGTTACCAAGTATTTAGATGTGACTCTCAAGTCACCTTGACTGCCTCATTATTCTCTCCACAAAATCCTGCTCATAAACAGAGATTCATATGTCAGACCCTGGAAGGGCATACCCATCTGCTTAATGCTTGGCAACTGCCAAGTAAAAAGGCGCGACTGAATCTTAATTCAAAACTATGAAAATATGTAGATATTAATACATCCAATTAAATTGGAAACCATATGAGTCATGCTTGATATAACATTATTATTATTATTATTATTATTATTATTATTATTAAATCGCTTTTGAAGAATAATTTTAATCCGTATATAAGAATTGAAGTTTCATTTATTTTTCCTTCTTTTCTTTTTTAGGCTGGAATGTTTGGAAGCAGAGAAGCATCGCAAAGATGCTTATCCGGGCTTCATTTACCGTGAGTTACATTTAGCCATTTCTCTTTCTTTTCCTTTCTTCTATCCTTCCCCTATTTCTTTCCCTTTATTCTTTGACTACGTTTGCTGAAAACGTGTTTGTTTCACACCAAATGATCTGTTTATTCTAAGCGAGACGCGTTTTCTGAAAAGAAACTATAAACATTGCGCGTTTATTTTCAGGATTTGTTTCTAAATCCTTAAAACATCATATTTCACTTGCCAGTAACAAAAACGCGAGTTTTTCCAAGACATATCTGTGCAGCTATTTTTTTTTTAATATAGAAGTTCCTCTCCCTCAAAAGCATTGTAGTATTCGACGTCAAAGAGTAAAAATAAAAAAAAAAAACAGAAAAAGTTTGCAAAAGGAAACATGAAAATACTATGATTTGGCGTACTGAAAAGAGGCTTCTACCCCAATGACGACGAGTCATTTTAATATTGCATCATTTTATAATGTGCTTCCTTATTTTTAATATTTTATTCATTTAACAAAAACATTCAAAATTCTTCTTGCGAAATTTCTGCCGTTTATATTGTGTATAGCAAGAGTTTTCAATCTGTGGTCCGTGGACCACAGAGGGTCCACAAGGACAAGATAGGGGGTCCGTGGACAGCAAAGACTTTTCTTATGGATGAAGTGCAACTTATAAGCGCTTATAGGTCGATCATGAAATAAATTGATTCAATAAATTATTTCATAGATTTGATATACTAATATAATTTGTATCTTAGATTGATAAAAGATAATGGATTCTATTCATGCAGAGAAGGAACCAAAGGATTTGAATTTTAGATCTATTTTGCGATTTCCGGCTTTCTCATTGGCTGTTAGGCGTCACGTGTACAAATCTTCAAGCAGGAGACATTTTGCGAGTAGAAGTGCAAGGCTGTTGGACAAGTAAGCAAGTAAGCTCTGAATTTTTTATTAGTATATTGTTTTCATAGCAATTAACAGTAAGCGTTCCATCTTGTCTACAGCCACTAA